ACATATATTATCACGTCCTTTAAATTAAAAATCTAGATTTTTCATGTTCTTTTGATTTTATGAATTCAAGACAAATAAATAGTCAGATAAATAAACGTAAATTATACGTTGAATAATCAGATTAATCATTGCTGACTATTCATAATATATATTTTTTTTTTGGTTAAAGCTTACTATTCATAATAGAACTACCTAAAGTTTATTTCTGAGGAGTTCTAGTAAACTAGTGCCCGAGAGAATTAAGTTCGATTGGCAACTAATTTACACTTGCGTAGGAACAATATTATGGAGAGCCTAAAAGAAAGTCTCAAAACGTGTGACAAAAGAAGCCTTGAGATACACGCAACTTGAAACACGGCACATATATCGCATGGATCAAGATCGATATACACATACATACGTACCGATATCACTATTCACTAGCTAGTGGTATAAACACACTATCGTTAGTAAATTTATATCGTTCGTTTGGTTTGTTAGAGAAGTTTATTTTCAGCAGTTATTGCATTTGGAGATTCAATTCTCGAATAGAAACATGAAACAAAATAAGCGGATTTATTCGAGACTTGGATGTGTTTTCTTACTCTTATCATCATTTTGTATCTCCTTCGCGACGACGACTCATTCTCAAGTGTTTCACCACCAACGAATCTGGCCAAAATGTGGGCGAGGTCCACCACCTGGACCATCACCACGAAACAAAAAACACCGGCAGTGTTATTCTTTGGAGATTCGATTTTCGACACCGGAAATAATAATAATCTAATAACAGAAATGAGATGTAATTTTAGTCCCTATGGTATGAGTTTTCCATCCGGAGTCCCTACCGGTAGATTCAGCAATGGAAAGGTCGCTTCTGATTATATTTGTTCGTACTCTCTCCCTCTCTCACCTTTCTTTTGGGGCTAGAACCTCTTCCAATATGTGTTATTTTCTATTTTTTTTGTAGCAAAAATATTCTTCTAGTTCCGTTGATGATCAAATATAAAAATCCTTCTAATGTTTTGTTTAATTATTCATATAGCCGAATTCTTGGGAGTACAGCCGATTGTACCGGCATATTTCGACCCCGAACTACAGCCAGAAGATCTTCTGACCGGTGTATCATTTGCTTCAGGTGGTAGTGGTTTTGACCCTATGACACCCAAAATATCTGTAAGAATACAAACAATCCCTTCTATAGATTATATATCAAAACTTATATACTAATCATTTGATAAAAATATAATCAGAGAGTATGGTCAATGTTGAGCCAGTTGACATATTTCCAAGAATATGTAGAGAGAGTGAAGAAGTTAGTAGGGCAAAAGAAGACCGATCAGCTATTAACCAAAGGCTTAGCCGTTGTGGTCGCAGGAAGCAACGATCTGGTTATTACATACTATGGTCAAGGTGCTCAGTGGCTCAGATACGATGTTCACTATTTTACAACGATGATGGCTAAATCTGCCGCAAGTTTCGTTATGGTATGCTACTTCACGTTTGCTTTATCCATTTTTTTCGAATTTTTTTTACTTTACTCTTTGAGTAAAATGAAATTTACTAACAATTACTTACCCCAATCTGATAAGAAGTTGACCACATGAAAAACGGAATTTGCAAAACTACCGTAAAAAAAAAATGAAATATTATCATTGGTTTACAAGTGATTGCATCTAGTAAAAATAGATCTTTGATTTTTGTAACAAAAATTCTATAACAGCAATTATATGGATATGGAGCAAAACAAATAGCAGTGATAGGAACACCACCACTTGGATGCATACCATCACAAAGAACTCTAAAAGGAGGCCTACGTAGAAATTGTGCTCAAGATATAAACTATGCTTCTCAGCTTTTCAACGTAAAACTCTCCATCGCTTTGGATCAATTGGCAAAAACTCTACCAAATTCTAATGTGGTTTACATCGACCTCTACTCTCCTTTCAGTCACATCGTAGCAAATCCACAAGATTACGGTAATTTTGGACCGCGGCTTCTTAATTATAACTACTTTTGTAGGATCATGCAAATGTATAAATAACTTTTGGGAAATCATTGCATGCAGGGTTTGAGGATATAAAGAAAGGATGTTGTGGAACTGGACTTGTGGAAGCAGGTCCACTCTGCAACCGATTCACACCTGTGTGCTCCAATGTATCTGGTTACTTGTTTTGGGATAGTTTCCATCCTACCCAAAGATTCTATAAAATATTAGTCAAAATACTTTTTGAGAAATACATCCACCATTTATTTTGAGTAGTCGCTATTTATTTACGTTGAATATGCTTCTCTGTAAAGCTCACTCAGTTATATAATTATGGAGAAATTGG